AGGTCAACTCGCTGCTTCGATCAGAAAGCTTCGGCTCCTGCGGCGCAGAGCGCACGGAGGCGGTGCCTGGTGTAAGAGGGGAGATGAGGCTTGCACGTTGGAACCGGCAACAGTTGAATCCACATTCAGAGACGTTCGATTCGATATTGTGCACAGTCTCACGTGTACAGGATACATTACGTGAGAGCCCGGAGTGCAGCGGAGGGGGGTGAGGCTGATTCATTCGGCCTCAGAGGAACGCCGTGAGCCTCAACTGGTCCGTCATCAGCCTCAGCCGTGGTCTATCCGCTGCGGGGTGAAGGGCACCCCCCTCGTTAGTCGCTCTCGGTACTGCCAGGGCCACGTTACACTTCACTCCTGCGTCACGAAGCGATCCCGTAGCTCCGTCTCTACACGGGCTGGGCCAGACGTGGGAAAAGGACGGCCCGTTGGGTTTCTTAATCCGGCCTGCCGAACTTGTCCATATATTATTATTGTTGTTGTTAAATTAAATTTTACCTTTCTCCTGTAATGCCCCCGTTTCCCAGATTAGACGGCGCACATTGACCGGGAGTGTGGACATTGTTTTGGGCGCAGGCCTCAGACGTTTCGTGATGTTTGATCAGTCACGTTACGACACGTTTTTGTGTCGTTCACGTTCGTGCAATTTGTTAAATTGACTTGCAAATAAACGCTTTGCTACCTGTTAAAGGCCAAATCCTTTCATGTAATGATTTTTGACACCGTCATTTATATTTAGTTCACGCAAACGCTCCATCCACCACCATCACCACCAACATCACCACCACCATCACCACCACCGGCATCACCACCACCAACAACATCACCACCACCAACATCACCACCACCACCAACATCACCACCACAAACATCACCATCACCACCAACATCACCACCACCAACATCACCACCACCACCAAGAGCACCATCACCACCACCAACATCACCATCACCACCACCAAACTCACCACCACCACCACCAACATCACCACCACTAACATCCGCACCACCACCAACATCACCACCACCACCAACATCACCACCAACATCACCACCATCACCACCACCATCACCACCACCAACATCACCACCAACATCACCACCACCACCACGAACATCACCACCACCACCAACACCACCACCACAACCACCAACATCACCACCACCATCACCACCACCAACATTACCACCAACATCCCCACCACCACCAACATCACCACCACCAACATCACCACCAACATCACCACCACCACCAACATCACCACCCCCAACATCACCACCACGACCAACATCACCACTACCAACATCACCACCACTAACATCACCACCACCAACATCACCACCACCATCACCACTACCACCAACATCACCACCAACATCACCACCACCATCACCAACATCACCACCACCATCACTACCACCATCACCACCACCAACATCACCACCACCACCACCAACATCACCATCACCAACAACATCACCACCACCAACATCACCACCGCCACCACCAACATCACCACCACCACCAACATCACCACCACCAACACCACCACCAACATCACCACCACCAACATCACCACCACCACCACCACCAACATCACCACCACCACCACCAACATCACCACCACCAACATCACCACCACCACCAACACCACCACCAACATCACCACCACCAACATCACCACCACCATCACCACCACCACCAACAACACCACCACTACCAACATCACCACCACCATCACCACCACCAACATCACCATCACCAACAACAACACCATCACCACCAACAGCACCACCAACATCACCACCACCACCAACACCACCATCAAAGACAAACTATAGAGTTCCCCCCCCCCACCGTACGAGCCCTGGAACGAGACCCTTGGGGGGCGAGCCGCTGTTCAGTCTCCAGCAGCAGCAGCCGCCGTGTGGCGCACGATGGGGTGACCAAGCGCCTGAGCGCGCGGCCGCCTTTGTCTCCCCAGCGAGCCCCAGGCGGCCAACATCGCCACCCTGGGCCGGGTGAGCAATCTAGCCGAGACCGGCGACACTCCCGGGGACCAGGCCTCACTACGGCACTTACCGGCGCAAAGCTCCTGTAGGTGTCTGGGGGAGGGGGTCTTGATGAGGTTACACACGAAACTGTTTCCTAGTGCGCTGGTGGAAGAGGAGGTCGCTTATGTCCGACGCTCCGTGTCACTGCCATGGACGGGTGACTTGCGCGCGTGCCTGTGAACACGTCAAAGGCCTTAGCTTGACGCTTTCAGAAAACGTAGCGCGGATAGGCGATCACGTGGGGCGAGCGAGGCTCAGATTCCGTAGAACTGATAAGCAATGCCCGTAGAATCAGCACTGCCCATAGACTCATCACTGCCCATTCGCTAGGAGAAAACCCCAATAAGCTGAAATAGAAACCGAATAAACTTAGAGAGAAACCCGCAAAACGTAAAAAGCTATTGAATGCATGGCTGTGTGTGCTGCTTTGCATTGTCGTAGCTACGTATGCAGTCTGCAAGTTTTTTTAATGTGGGCACGTGCAAATATTGTCTGGGTACATGAAAATATTTCTTTGAAAATGTGTCCTAGATAGTATATTTGTAAGTGTGTGGGTTAATAAAAGTAGAATTGAAACATTAGCACAATGTAGATTTGTATATTGTAGGGTAGAAATGTATTTATGATCTAATATTGGTTTAATAAAATTTATATTTTTACTTAGAATACTTTGCAATGCAATAGACTAAATATAATGCTTGTGTTTTTAAAGAAAATAATATATATTCTTAGCTCTTTCGGTAAAATCATGTTGAATTACTGCAGTCACGAAAGCTTCAAATCAGAAAATAATATATTTACCAGGATTAAAGTTGAGCGAAATGTTATAAAATCTGAGGCTTGGAGAATTGCATGCTGGGAATTAAATTGAGACATGGGAACTTTGGTAATGATCAGGAAAATGCCCTAACAAAAAAGGGAAGTCTGAAATATGTTGGCGTGTAAATCAGCATATCAAATTAAATCCACAGAGGAGGGAGAGAAGGATCCCAAGCATGCGACACTCAGAACCAGAAGTGGCAGAGACTCGGCCGAGAGAGTGGAGAAAGAGAGAGGAAGAGACTTTTCAGGACTTTATTTCCACTAAAAAAGTTAACAAAAAAACATTACAGGAAAAAAACACCTAAATTGAAAATCAATAAAACATCAAACTCTTAACAGCGGTATGTGCATGAAATACAAATGACACCGGGATAGAGGCTGTGGAAACGAGGCGGTGCACGGACATCTCCATGTGCAGCAAAGTTGTTCAAGGGTTTTTCAATTTTATAAAGAATCAAATGTTTTGACATCAGAATGCGATGTGAACAAAATATATTTTTCTCCCCTACATTTTCAAAACGAAATGGCGTTGACATGTCAAACACCTGAATTTGTTTTTTCTTCAAGGATTCTGTTGTCGTAGCTACGTATGCAGTCTGCAAGTTTTTTATGTGGGCACGTGCAAATATTGTCTGGGTTCATGAAAATATTTATTTGAAAATGTGTCCTAGACACTATATTTGTAAGTTAATAAAAGTAGAATTGAAACATCAGCACAATGTAGATTTGTATATTGTAGGGTAGAAATATATTTATCATAGCGATGATCTAATATTGGTTTAATACAATGTATATTTTTACTTAGAATACTTTAGCCATGCAATAGACTAAATATAATGCTTGTGTTTTTAAATAAAATAATATATTTACCAGGATTAAAGTTGTGCGAAATATTTTATAAAATCTGAGGCTTGGAGAATTTCATGCTGGGAATTCAATTGAGACAGAAAGGGGTTAATGCATGGCTTGCAGAGCAGTCGCACGTTACAGAGATCATTGACAAAACAGAATGCGATGTGAACAAAATATATTTTTCTCCGCTACATTTTCAAAACGAAATGGCGTCGACATGTCAAACACCTGAATGAGTTTTTTTCTTCAAGGATGCTGTTGTCGGCTTTCATTAAAGTGTAATGACAGGGTGACACCTGCTGACATCACAGGGTGACACCTGCTGACATGACAGGGTGACACCTGCTGACATCACAGGGTGACACCTGCTGACATGACGGGTGACACCCGCTGGCCTGGCAGGGGCTTCACGGGTAGGGCCACAGAGGTAACAACCAATCAGGGAAGGAGGCGCATCTGGGGCAAAGGCAACAGGTGGGGCTAGCCGAGTTACTCCGGTCACCTGCTCGAAAGGTTCCACGAGAGGGCGTGGCCGGAGGCGGGGCCTAGCCACGCCTCTGGCCACGCCCTCTCGTGGAACCTGCTCCAAGGTTCCACGAGAGGGCGTGGCCGGAGGCGGGGCCTAGCCACGCCTCCGTCCACGCCCTCTCGTGTAACCTGCTCCAAGGTTCCACGAGAGGGCGTGGCCGGAGGCGGGGCCTAGCCACGCCTGGGGGGATATAAGGGGGAGCGGACCCGGAGCTCGGGGCTCGTGCGTGGGGTCCCGGGTCCTGGCGTGTCGCCGTTCGCCGGCATCTCTCTCCGTCGTCGTCACGCCGCCAGCCGGAATCGTGGCCAAGAAGGGCCGGCATAGTCACGAGACGTTAACGTGGAAAGTCATTTGGTGAGACGTGCGTAGCGAGCGAGGTAGCGGCGCGTGGTCCGGTGAGAAGGAGCGACGAGTCAAATGAGAGAGGCGCGACGTGAAGTCAGGGGTGGTGTCCCCCCCCCGCCCCCACGAGGGAAAAAGGAAAGGGGGCGGATGGCTGAGTGGAGAGCGTGCGGGAACGTGAACGTGGAGAGCGAGTGGCCGGGCAATTTGCAGTTTGACGGCAAACGCCGCAATGGACGTGAGGTTCAGATTGAACGCTAAGTGAGGGCTCGTGGGTAGAACATCGTCAGTGGTGTGACGAACGCCGCTGCAATGGACACATGCGCTACGGGTACATGTCGCTTTTGGTGCAGGTACAGCACGTGGCGACCACCTGCCGGGTCACGGAGAAGGAGCCGGGTTACGTCGAGAGGCCCTGGAAGAGGCAGCTGGGAGGCGGTGTCGCGGCAGGGGCTGGGCACATTCTCAGAGGATTCGCCTTGGTGAGGATGTTGTAGGCGTGCTGACACGCCACCTCCCGTGCTCCCTCCTCGCTGGAGCTCAGAAATGCGGGGAAGATGCTGGCGCCTTCTCCCATCCCGGGAATCGACACCTTATAGAGGAGGCCCGCGGGCATCCCGGGCCCCGAGTGAGCGTGCAGCTCGAAGATCGGGTAGCTGATGCCGGTGGTCCGGCACAGCATCCGCAGCCGCCCCGCCCACGACAGCATGGCCACCTCCGGCAGCGCCTCGAGAGCCACGGGCAGGGGCCGCAGGTGGCGAGGTACCCACCACAGGCACGTGCGTGCCCCCCAGCCCTCAAACAGGCTGTGTGCGGCTTTGCCGGTGGCCGTGCACTCCGGCTCCGGCAGGTCTGGCACCGCTGCCTCCATCTCCTCCTCGTCTTCCGTTGCCGCGGCCGCAGCCGCAGCCACCGTGTGCCACTCCGGGATGGCCCAGTCCACCTTGATGGTCCGGCCCCATAGCTGGAAGTTGATTCGAAGGAGCTTCTTCCGGGCCATGGCGGCCGCGTGATGGCTCCCGTACTCGATGAACGCGTAGCCTCGGTTGAGGGTTTTGTCCCAGCGACAGACGCTCATCTTGACGTCCACCATGCCCTCCGTGGCACCGCTCATCGCCATCATCACCTCCGTTCGCTTCTTGTCTTTTGGCAGCCCCCCAATGAAGAGGCGGCGATTGTCCACGCTGATGCAGACTCCAATGCGGCGTCCGGGACGGATCTCTAATTTGTTGAGTTTCTTGACGGCATCCGTGCCTTGGGCGAGCGTCGCGTAGGTAGCGAACGCATAGCCGCGGGTCTCTCCGCCGTGCTCCATCATGAGGCGGAGCTGGTAGAGCTTCCCCACCGTCTCCAGCACGGGCACCAGCTCATCCTCGTAGAGGTCGCGCGGGATCCTCCCCAGAAACACCTCGCAGCCACGGGCGGGAGGGGGCCCCTGCCAGTCGGGCGGCGGTCCGAACTTCCTCTGTCTGCTCTCCTGGACGATGTTGTACCCCGTGCGCAACATGCGGTCCAGCAGGACCTTCATACAGGCCATGCCGAGCACCGGTGGTTTGGCTGCTACGGTGATGCTGGGGCGGCGGCTTGGGGCCCGGTGGAGCCCTTGACACTCCGCGCGGTCGCCTCGTGCCGGCAAAACCACGGGGAGAATCAACTCCTGAAGAGCCAAATCCCCGGCAGGAACTCGCTCGGCCCAAACCTACAGGGGATAGGAAGAGAGAGGGAGAGAGGGAGAGAGTGGAGAGAGAGATGGATGGAGAGAGAGAGAGAGAGACGCGTTTAAGCAGAGCTACCTATATAAACTCATAATAAAGGTTTTTGGGTTAGATCGCGTTATTTATAAATGTGTCATAACCCCTCCACCACCCGACACGGCCAATTAGCAAAAAAAAAGTGTCACGTTGACAAAAGACAAATAATTCACATTAAAACCATATTTGTGGTTTAGATATGTGGATGACACTTTGGTTGTCTGGCCACATGGTAAAGATACACTTAATGATTTTCTAAATCATCTCAATGCACAAAACCCGGCCATCCAGTTCACCATGGAAATGGAGGTGAATAACACACTCCCATTCCTAGATATTTTGCTTGGAAAAGGCCTAAACGGTAAAATAACACACAGCGTTTACAGAAAGCAAACGCACACTGATGCCTATCTGAATGCAGATTCGCATCATCATCCAGCTCAGAAATCCTCTCTTATCAAGACGCTCATACATCGGGCTAAAACAGTGTCAGATGGTGAAAGTCTAGTGAGAGAGATCAAACACGTTAAAGACGCACTAAGACAGAATGGCTACAATAATGCTCAAATCAACAGAGCACTGAATGCCAAATCACGATCGCAAAGCAATACTGCTGAAAGCGATCAGATTGTTAAAACAATAAAAATTCCATATATCTCAGGAGTAACTGACAAATTAACCCATGTTTTGCAAAAGCAAAACATTACAGTAAGATTTGGTACAGTACACAAAATTCAAAAACTAGTATCTTGCACTAAAGACGCATTACCTAAATTATCAACAGAAGGTGTATATCGGATTAATTGTTTATGTGGCAGATGCTATATTGGACAGACGGGACGTAACATCAGCGTAAGACTAAAATAACATCAGAGAAATATTAAATTATCTCAAACACAACTGTCAGCAGTGGCAGAACATGCTTGTCAACAAGGACACTCAATTGATTTTTATAACGTTGAAGTGTTGTGTAAAACTAATTATTACTGGCAAAGACTAATTAGAGAATCCATTGAAATTGAGAGGAATAAAAATAACTTTAATCGCTCTGACAGCTACAGGCTTAGTGCGGCCTGGAAGCGTATTATTAAATAATACACATTACAATTCCTTATAGGGGAAACACATACTAATAAACGGATTACTAACATAGCATATAATCACTAACACACATTACAACTAATTACTAATCTACAACTCATTACTAATCATAACCATTGACTGATTAATAATCGATTATATAATTACAATACCCCCCCTCCGCCTCTAATCACTGCACCTGATATGAGTTAAATGATGACGTCACCCTGCTGCTGCTCTATTTAAGACCGGGAGCAAGTGGAGAGGGCTTTACCATTCTGACGAATTGCCCGATGATGCCGGATGTATTTACCAGCGAAACGTCACAGTACTACTCAAACTGTAAATGTTGTGGATTCACTCTTCAACACACCGGTGGGCTAAAGTAGTGAACTATTTGTCTTTTGTCAACGTGACACTTTTTTTGCTGATTGGCCGTGTCAGGTGGTAGAGGGTTACGACACATTTATAAATAACGCGATCTAACCCAAAAACTTTTATTATGAATAATATTGGTCGCGAAAGCCTACGTGTTAAACTATATAAACTCGAAAAATCACAATGAACTTAAAAAGAAACCCAAGAAACTGTGTCCTGACTTTTGTACCGCCCTGTATAATAATCATTACCCCTCACCCCCTGTACACCCCCCCACCCTCCGCAGTACCCCTCCTCACTCATCCACTCACTCACCGAGTCGCTCACACATTCACCCACCCATTTACTCGCCCACTCACTCAGCCACTCACCCACCCACACACTCACCCAACCACTCATACACTCACTCGTCCAGTCGCTCACATACTCATCTACACACTCACCCACCCACACACTCACCCAGTCGCTCGCTCACTCACACACTCACCCATTCGCTCACAGACTCACACATCCACCCACTCACTCACCGAGTTGCTCACCCAGTTGCTCACTCACTCACACAGTCACCCACCCACTCATCCACCCACACACTCACCTAGTCGCTCACCTAGTCGCTCACACACTCACCTCACACACTCACTCACTCACCCACTCACCCACACACTCACTCACCCAGTCGCTCACACACTCACCACCCACTCACCCACCCACTCACCCACACACTCACTCACCCAGTCGCTCACACACTCACCACCCACTCACCCACCCACTCACCCAGTCGCCCACACACTCACCTCACTCACTCACTCACCCAGTTGCTCACCCAGTTGCTCACTCACTCACACAGTCACCCAGCTACTCATCCACCTACACACTCACCTAGTCGCTCACCCAGTCGCTCACACACTCACCTCACACACTCACTCACTCACCCACTCACCTACACACTCACTCACCCAGTCGCTCACACACTCACCACCCACTCACCCACCCACTCACCCAGTCGCCCACACACTCACCTCACACACTCACTCACCCACTCACTCACCCACCCACACACTCACTCACCCAGTCGCTCACACACTCACCACCCACTCACCCACCCACTCACCCAGTTGCCCACACGCTCACCCACTCACTCACCTGCTCGCTCACCCAGCCACTCACCCAGCCACTCACTCACAACAATCGCCACTAATTGGCGGTGACGTCGCCACGACGCTTGTGCCAGGGTCACGTGGTTAGCGGTAATCAATTGAAGGTGGAGGGGTTAATTAATTGAAGGTGGAGAGGGGCTTAATTAATTAATTACTGCTAACCACGTGAGCCTGGCACATGCGTCGTGGTCACGTCACCGCCAATTAGTGGCGATTGTTGTGAGTGGGTGGATGTGTGTGGGCGGGTGAGTGAGTGGGTGGTGAGTGTCTGGGTGAGTGTCTGGGTGAGTGGGTGGATGTGTGAGTTGGTGGGTGAGTGGGTAACCCCTCCACCTTCAATTAAGTGAATTAAGGTGGAGGGGTTACCAGCCCCTCCACCTTCAATTAATTAGCCGCTATGGTGGTCGCAAATGCCCTGAGAGAAGAGGCCGATTGGAATTGGCCCTCCACCCCACAGCACTGTCCGGCACCACGGGGAGGTAGGGAGTTGTTTTTGTCAACAACAACAACCGCCATTCGCCACTAATTGACGGTGACGTCACCACGACGCTTGTGCCAGGCTATGTGCACCCTGAGGCCACGTGAAGTGTCAAACGTCCCGCTGGCAGGTCACGGGGCAGACCCAGGTGCCACGGGTCGACTGACTGAGATGACTGGCTGATGCACCACCTGTGCCTCCTACTCCGCCAAACTCACCCACTCACCCAGACACTCATACACTCACTCGTCCAGTCGCTCACATACTCATCTACACACTCACCCACCCACACACTCACCCAGTCGCTCACTCACTCACACACTCACCTATTCGCTCACACACTCACACACCCACTCACTCACCCAGTCGCACGCACACTCACACACCCACTCACTTACCCAGTTGCTCACCCAGTTGCTCACTCACACAGTCACCCACCCACTCATCCACCCACACACTCACCTAGTCGCTCACCCAGTAGCTCACACACTCACCACCCACTCACCCACCCACTCACCCAGTCGCCCACACGCTCACCCACCCACTCACCCACTCTCTCAGCCACTCACCCACTCACTCACCTGCTCGCTCACCCAGCCGCTCATCCAGCCACTCACAACAACCGCCACTAATTGGTGATGACGTCACCACGACGCTTGTGCCAGGGTCACGTGGTAAGCGGTAATTAATTGAAGGTGGAGATGGTTTAATTAATTAATGCTAACCACGTGAGCCTGGCACAAGCGTCGTGGTGACGTCACCGCCAATTAGTGGCGGTTGTTGTGAGTGGCTGGGTGAGTGGGCAGGTGGGTGAGTGGGTGGGCGAGTGGGTGGGTGGCTGGGTGTGTGGGCGGGTGAGTGGGTGGGCGAGCGAGTGGGTGGGCGAGCGAGTGGGTGAGCGAGCGTGTGGGCATGTGGTTGGGTGGGTGTGTGAGTGGGCGACTGGGTGAGTGGGTGGGTGAGTGGGTGGGCGACTGGATGAGTGGGTGGATGTGTGTCTGGGTGAGTAGGTGGGTGAGTGGGTGGGCGACTGGGTGAGTGGGTGTGTGTGTGGGCGGGTGGTTGGGTGGGTGAGTGGACGACTGGGTGAGTGGGTGGGTGGGTGAGTGAGTGGGTGGTGAGTGAGTGGGTGGTGAGTGTCTGGGTGAGTGGGTGGGTGAGTGGGCAACTGGGTGAGTGGGTGGATGTGTGAGTGTCTGGGTGAGTGTCTGGGTGAGTGGGTTGGCGACTGGGTGAGTGGGTGGATGTGTGAGTGTCTGGGTGAGTGGGTGGGTGAGTGGGTAACCCCTCCACCTTCAATTAAGTAAATGAAGGTGGAGGGGTTACCAGCCCCTCCACCTTCAATTAATTAGCCGCTATGGTGGTCGCAAATGCCCTGAGAGTAGAGGCCGATTGGAATTGGCCCTCCACCCCACAGCACTGTCCACGACAACGTTGCCCGTCCGGCACCACGTGGAGGTAGGGAGTTGTTTTTGCCAACAACAACAACAACCGCCATTCGCCACTAAGTGGCGGTGACGCCACCACGACGCTTGTGCCAGGCTAGGTGCACCTTGAGGCCACGTGAAGTGTCGAACGCCCGCTGGCAGGAAGTCACGGGGCAGGCCCAGCAGGTGCCACGGGTCGACTGACTGAGACGGCTGAGATGACTGGCTGATGCACCACCTGTGCCTCCTACTGCACCAAACTCACC